GCTTAACTGCCAATAATCCAACTTCCACATAACTCCCAGACAGCTGGGAAAAGGTCCTTAGAGTTTTTAGTCATGGTATAGAAACACACGTCCACACAAAAAATCTGCAGCTGTCCTTTTTCTCTACACCACATTTTTTATCTGATTTTGGGGCCCACTCACGAAAGTCCTGACAAATTTAAAACATTTTTACCTACATTCTGGTTTACAAGCGCCAGTGAAAGCTGCAACATATTCCTTCCCCCCCTCCATCTTCAGCTGACAAATCAGCACATACTTACTTGAACAAAAAATGAAGGGGAAGAAGGGAAAAAATAAACCACACCACCCTATTCAACATCCTCAGTCGCTGTATGAATGCATTCAAAAAACCTGGAAAGGCATCTCCTGTATTTTTTTTCACTACAGATCAGCCACTGGTGCACCTATTAAAATTGTTCGATTTCCAAAGCAAATATTATTTTTAATGAAGTGCAGTCCTGCAATTATCCTGTACACTCAAGTAACAGTACTGCATTATATTGTTTTGCAAGGTCCCAGAAACATGAAACTTTTCTCTAGCTAATTTTCATAGCCCCCTGAAGAGAAACTGATGGAGTAAGCAGCGCAGCATTTGCTCCAGAATAAAATCTTATCAAGTTAAAAAAAAAAAAAAAGAAGAAGAAAGAAAAATAAAAAAAGAAAAAAAGAAAAAAAAAACCATAGCATTAAAAATAAATCAGCTTCTTTCCTGCAAGTAAGTTAACAAACAGTCTGTTTGCCACTGTATACCAGCTATGCTAATGCTATAGCAGAGTGATTCAGCAATCTACCTAATTAAGCACGAGGAAAGTTTCTTTTATGGAGGCTCCATTTGATTTACACCACAGGATGATCAGTTCTTATTTAACAGCTTGTTTTTACACAAGTCCAGAAACTTTATTAAAAGCATGTCCATTCATTTTTTTTTTAAACAAAGCAAATAATTCACTCTCCACTGAATAGCTCTGTATCATAAAGTACCAAAGTGCTGACATATTAAGTTGTATCTACATTATTAAACTAGTTGGTGGACATTAATACTATAATCCATACTGCAGACATTAAACCTCAACCATAAAGATTAGTAAAGAATTAATACTGTCACATCGAGACTGAAACCTTAACACTCCAGCCATAAATATTTCTGAAGGAGATGAAAAACAATTAGCATAAACACCAAAGAAGGGCAAGAACACCTGTTCTTTTTCAGGGCGATAAGCATTTTATTGTTCTCTATTTAAAATGTAATGACCTGTGTAATTACAGTAATATTACATTGTATTGCAAGGGCTTGGAATGTCACACTTTGAAAAGTGTTGTCAAAACAATTGGAGGGAGGGGAAAAAAAAAAGGACCACCATTAACCCTTCACACCCCAAGGACTAAAGCTTTTGTATTGCGAAGGATTACATTGTTTGATTCAGTAGATAAAGAAAAACGTCAATTTCTCAAGGCAATTAACAAAAAATGTTTCCTCCTAAATATAAAAATCAAGGCGATGGGGCTGCTCTCCCCCACAGCTATTCCCAGCTCCCAAACTTCGGGGCCAAACACAAGCTTATCCCTACAGTCCCACTCAGGCAGCAACAACTTAGGGGAAAGGAAGATGCAACAACACTAGTAAAAATAAGAGCATCCGCCAGCAGGGCTTTCTCACATTACACTGCATCTATCTGCTTACCAAAAGCATTAACCAAGCTCCAAATTTAAGCTAAAAATCAAGTACACCACTTCTGTGTTTTCCAACTCTGAAAGGAAACCAGTCTCCTTTATTATCCATAACATGCAGCCACCCCAGTCCCTCCACAAGTGCAGGGATGGAATGGTGCTCCCAGATGCATCACTTCATCACTATTTGACTAGATCTCTACTTAATAACATCTATTCTCATAAGCACACTACAGTATTCTATCAATAGCAAGATTAGCATGCAAAGAAAAATCTTTGATTTGTAAAAATAAAATTATTCCTATCAACCTTGATAAAGAGTTTGCAGCATTTAAAGCATTATCCTTGAGAAAAGATTACTCCTCATAAGCAGATTTTATGATGCTTCATAATTCTTCACATTCCTGAAGCAGTAAAGGAGAAATTGCTGCCCACAAGTTTGCTCTTGAACAGACAATTACAGGTACACTTAAAAAACACAATAATCCCACTCCACCCCCAAATAAAGCAACAAAAAAAAAATCCAGGAAAAAAAAAAAACCACAACAAAAAAACCACACCCACAGACTTTTAAGATTGTACAACAGCAAAAGGAAAAGAAAAACAATTTTGCTACATATCTGCATCACCTCTTTACCTTGCATGCTCTGACAATCAACAAATATGGCTCCAGGAAAAACTACATAAATAAAAATAAAATTCGTAATTATGCAGAACCATCTATACCTTTCCAACGCCTATTTAAAAATAAAATAAAATCAAACAGGAAAGAGAAAGATCTAGTTCATCTGGAATTGAAAGCTGGTACAGCAGAGAACTAGAATCCACCTAAAAATAGTGTGTGACAGACAACAGCTATCCCGCTGAATCTTTATAATATTCTGTTCTCAGGCCTAAATAAACAACTTTAATTTTTCCTGGCTATAATTAAGTGGCAGGCAAACAAACAAGCATACGGAATGTGAAAGAATAAGGTTAAGAAGATAGGAGAAGGTTGCTGGAGCCTGGATGTGGAAATAAGAAAATTGCCTATTGAGTGTGGAAATATCCTTTCAGAATTCATCTGATAACACAAGCAGGCCACCTGCTATACCAACAATAAACCAACCTGTAAGCTTTTGTACAGCACCTTTAATTCACAGGAACCCAACATTCCTATGGAGGCCTTTTTTAAGGGTGGGGGAGCAAGGGGAGGAATGCTTCAGGACAGCTAACTGCTGAAGGATCCTACCCCACATGCTAAGGGAAAAGGGATCAGTAATAAAGGTAATGAGGAAAAAAGAGCTGGAGCTGTTGTAAGAAAAATGCTTTAAGAAAAAGGCAGCAGAGGTGTGCTTCCGATTAGCCTGCACTTGGAACAGTGGAATGCATTGAAGGTAAAAAACGAGGGAAAAAAAAAAAAAAGGAACACAAAGCTTCACAATTTTTAACAAAGTGACATGGAACAAAGATTGTTTTGCCATCTGGATTCTGGTACTTATGGAATTTGGAATTTATCACCATCATCCATATACATGTGGGCGACCATATTCAAAAGAAAAAATTTAATGCATTCAGCCCCTGAATTCCCCTCCCCATCATTACAATTGCAAACTGCAGTCACCCCTCTGCTACTGTCCCAGAAATCACCTCCTCACAAAAAGAACCTCACAAGCTTCCAAAATAAAACTCTGCCACAGCCCTAAACATATGCAAAGTCAGAAAACCTTCCTCACAACCTCCCTGTCACTCTACATTTACTAATCTGTGTCTACTGACGTTTTACTAAGTGAAAACAAGACTGACCCGATGTTTAATATTTTAATGCTTTAAAACACTTGTAGATCTGATATACTGAAGTTGTCCAAGCCCTCAGTCATTAGTACGGCTTCAACATCTACCCAACAGTAGATCTATTATTGTAAATCGCTATCTCGTGTTACCACAAGGAAAAAAAAAAGTGTATAAACACACATGGTGATGGTGGGAACGCTTCAGACTCAGAAACACCCCGAAGAAACAAAACAGCAACGCTAAAGCCATCAGTAGGAATCAGTGGTGTTTGGAAGCCCCAGTGGATTTACCCATTCAAAATGAAAAAATTTTTAAACTCTTTAAAAAAGGAAAGGAAAGGTGACACTTGAGAAATCTGATGTCAGAGTAGAGCACACCGTGGGTGACACTACGAGCGGGGAAAACAGCTGGGACTACAAACCCACCAGCACACCCCAAAGTTTCCTGGGATCTGGACTAAACCTCGCTCTAGCTGCAGGAACACGCAGACCTGCACCCTCTGCTAGTGAACCCCAAGTTGGGGGTGGAAAAAAAAAAAAAAAGGAAAAAAAAAACCCAACAACAAAAAACCGGACGCTTTCAGCAAATTGTTTTCCTGCCAGCATACTTCCAAGAGGAATTTTGCTCGACTTGTCTGATTATTTTTTGCGCTGCTGTTGTTGTTGCCAGAGCCAAGCGAGGCGAGTTGTTTCCGGACTCAGCCCTGTGCCCCGAGCGCGGCTCCCCCCGCTCCGCAGCGGGACGGAGCCGCTCCCCGGGCACGGCCCCGGCCCCGCCGGGCAGGGCAGCGGCGCTCGGCCCCCGCACGCCGCGGGGCGCGGATCGGGGCGGCCGGACCGGGCTGAGCCCGGGCACAACTCGCGGCACCCACGGCCCGAAGGGGCACAATGAAATCGCCGCTCCCGCAGGCCGGGGCGGGCGAGGGCAGGAGAGGGTTAAGGGGGAGGAAAGGGGAGGGGGAGCCGGCCCAGCCGCCACGGAGGAGGGCAGAAGGCGACGGATCACCATGGAAAACGAGGAGTTTGGAGGAGCGGATCGCAGGCTCGGCCGGGAAAAAAATAACTCCCCTCCCCAAGGAAGGGGAGAGGAGACGAGAGAGAAGGGAAAGAGAGGGGAGGAAAAAAACCCCAAACCCAAACTTCCTTTTAAAAATTTGTTTCCAGTTTTGTTTTGAGGCTGAAATAGACATTGTTTGGAATTTCTTTGCTTCTTTCCTTCCCCACCCCCCCGCAGCGGAGGTTACAAGGGCTCAAAAAAAAAAAAACTGCCCACAAAACTGAAAGTAAAAAAAATAACAACAAACAAGAAAAAGACAAGAAATAAAAGAGGGAAAAAGGAAAAAAAAAAAAAAAAGAATATGGCGAAGTGTAAACAATCCCCTCCCGGCGCGGCCCGCGGAGTTTGGAAAGTTTGCGGCGCGGGGGAGGGGGCGGCGGCAGGGCCGGGGCGAGCGGGGCACCGGGAGCGCGGCGGCGGCGGGAGCCGGGCAAGGAGCGGGGGGGAGAGGAAAGAGAGGGGGGAAAAAAAAAAGCACTTACCGTTCTCGCCGTCGGAGAGAGCGATCCATTGGGCAGATACGGGCTGCTGAGGTCGGGGATCATTATAAAGGGATAACCCGGGTATGGTGGGCCCTTAAACAACCCTCCATCTTGCCTCTTCGCAGCTAACATGGCGGGGAGACACGAGCGGGAGCGGGGAAGGAAGGGGGCAACAGGGGGAAGAGAAGGGAGGAGAAGGGGGGAAGGAAAAGTTTTTTTAGCAAGTGTCCCCAAAAGAGGAGCCGGGCGCCCGGCGGAGGGGCGGCGGTGCGGGGCGGGCGGCGGTGCCGGCCGGGCCCGCGTACTCACCTTCCTCTAAACTTTCCCGGGATTTATCTCTGAAAGTTTCGGACCGAGGCGGGGGCCGCCGCTCCGCCTGGGAGCGAGCCGGGGGTCGGCGTGGGGCAGTTGGGGAAGGGGGTGATTGGGGTGGCGAGGATGTTTTTTGGGGGGTGGGGGGGAGAAGGGAGAAGAGGAGGCACAGCGCGGCCCCCGCCCGCCGCCCCGAAACGGCCCCGCGGGGGGCTTCCCCCGTACCTCCGAGTCTGAGGAGCTGTTTTGATTCGTTTCTGATTCATTGACGAGAGACGACTTGACATCAGCTAAATCCCTCTCCGCCGAGGAGTTCTCGGAGATCTTCTCCTCCTGCTCCCCTTCGTCTTTGAAAGAGATCAGTTCATCGTTGGCGCCCAGGTCGTCCCCTCCACCGCCGTTCAGCTGCGGCATTTTCCTCCTGCTTCACCCCACCAGCAGCATGGGGGGGAGAAGGGAGAAGAGGAGGAATGAAAGGCGAAAAAGAAGGGAGAGGTGCGGGGAGAAGGTGGAAGGGGAGACAAACAGAACAAAACAGAAGGCATCGTTACAAGTTGGTGCCGCGGAGAAAGTTGGGCGCCGGCGGGAGCGAAAAAAAAAAAAAAAAAAGGAGGGGAATGGGGGGGGAAAAGGAAAAAGAAGAGGGGGGGGGGAAAGTTTGCACCAAAAAAAGAAGAGTCCAAGGTGAAAGTTTCTTTTTTTTCCCCTTCTCTTTCCTCCTGGGGAGGGGAAAAGAGGGAGGAGGAGGGGAGGGAAATGTCTCTTCTTTGCTCCTTTGCACCAGTGACTTTAGGCTTCTTCCTTTCCTTCTTCGGGATTTTCTCTTTCTTTCTTCCCGGGAGCTGCTCGGCGTGCACTGCGCGCACACGCACACCCGCGCACGCACTCGCGGAAAAATTAATAATAATAAAAAATATATAAACCGGGGGGAGGGGGGAGCAGCGGGGGGGAGGGGGGTTAAAAAAAAAAATAATGCAACAAACCAAGCCCAGAAGTCAGCTGTGACGGGGGGGCAGTCGCCGCGGATATGGGGAGCCTGTGCCGCTCGGGTTTGAGTGAGTTGAAGTTGGACTGAGAGCTTTTCAGTTCAAAGGCGGCGCTGATTGACAGATAGAAAAAGGGGGATCGAAATCCGGAGGAACGGAGAAGTCTGGGATCCGGGATTATTGACAGGGAGCGAGAAACACACCAGGCACTTAATGAGATGCAGGAGAGGGCGGGGGCTCCCCGGTGACGTCTGCATAAATAAACAGGTCTGGGGCGCGGGAGGGGGAGGAGGAGGGTGGGGGAAGTAGGAAACTAACAATGATCCTTTTTGGCATGGGAGCGGGAGCGCGAGGGGAGGGCAGCGGGGGCGGGGGCGCCGCTGGGGGGGCCGGCACGCAAAGGGAGGGGGGAGAGGTTGGCAAAAAAAAAAAAAAAAAAATTCAAAAATTGTGCGCCGTAGCTCAGAGCTGCGGGACGGGGGGAGAGAGGGGAAAAACACTAGAACGGGTGTCCCTGACTCCGCGCTCCGGGAGCGCCAACTTCTACATTCTGGACATTAATAAACATATCATTCCCCCCGCAGCCCGGGTTCTCCTGAAGGATGTTTGTGTGCCCTTATTATTTGGGTACATGTGACGGCAGGGTGGTGCGGAGGGTGCTTTTTTTAAACCGTTAACATTTTTCATGCCACTCGTTGGAGGTAAGAAACTCCAATCATAATAAACACTAGAATATAGTAAAAGCCTTTTTTTTTTTTTTTTTTTTTTTGAGCAGCACTGGGTCTTTGCATTTATTATGGTTATAACACGCAGGATGAAAATGTGTGAGATCACTCGCTGAAGATCAGATATTTCCAAATTATCTTATAGTAAGGCATAATGTTTTCTGGTAAAAAAAAAAAAAAAAAAAAAAAAGAGTAGGAAAAGGAATGTGACTGCTAAGAAGTTAATTAGCATGGCAGGACGGAGAATCAAGGACTCCCAGACTTCAGAAGTGAAAAGTTGTGGCGGCGTAAACATCACGCTGCTGCTGGGGGGGAATCAAAGGGAAGGGGGGTCCGCGGTCCGGCCGCGGGGTCCGGCCGGGGCTGCGGGGGCACCGCGCGGGGCTCTGCCCGCACGGCAACGAAACGGGGAGCAGAGTCATGCGGATGCGAGAAATGGCATCTGTGCCCCGAATCTAATGTGGCGAGGGGAAGGGGAAAACAAATTGATCTTCCAGCAGTGACAAATTGTAACAATGGCCGAGTCAATTGGAAACTTTAACATGGGCAAGGAACAAAAGGAGGGGAGTGGGGAGGGGGGCGGGGGGGAGACAGTAATTTCAATGGGAATTAGTAAATTGCCTAATGGAAATGGTGTTTGAAAGCAAGGGACAGGCTGTACTAAATAATCCAAACATTCCTCCAGAAATCTAACCTGCTGCTCATGCTAAGGGTCATTCAGCACATAGGGTTTCCAAAACAAAGCCAATTTGTCATGCAATATTTAGAGAGTTTGGGGGTTTCAGCTAAACTGTCTTCTATAAAAAGAATAATAAAAATAATAATACAGAGATCGACAAGGCTAACACAAATTCTCAGGCATTAAAAAGTTCACATAGAAATTTGCATACTAAAGGGAAAGATGCAGACAAAATAGAAATAAAAAATCACTGCAACTTACAACTTTAATATTAATCAGTAAAGCAGAAGTAGAGTGAAAGGAAGCATGAAAAGAAGTAAAACAAATGTGTACATTTAATCAGACAGGATTGCATAGGACACAAAGAACAGGGCTAATTAGTCTCAGCAGGTAGGGACTAACCTTCAGACTTCATAAATAAATAAGTCTGTGAACAATGTCTAAGTGGGAATATGGAGACAGAAAAGGGATTATTTTAAGACACCAAGTGAAAACATGACTAATGAAATACTTCACTGTTAACCCAATGTACAAATGCATTGAACGGTTTCTTTTTCCACTGGTGTTTTGACTAACTTGCTTTGTACTTTCAGAAATTGTACTAAATAACTGTTTGTGGGCATGCACACTCCCCATTTACCCCTGATTATATACTTACTATCTCTGCAAACTAGTGCCTTGCAGAGTGACACCTTAACAAATATTCTCCATTTTTGTTTGCTTCTTGATTTTAAATGCCTTTATATCCCAAAACAATATGAGATTAGAAATACAAATGTGACAGACTCCTCTTTATTTTGCAGGGCCATGTGCTATAATTTGATCCAAATGAACAAAAACAGTTGCACAGTTCTGTTTTGTTTTTCCAGGATCTTTTTACAATCTGCTATGGATTTTTCTTTAAACAAGCATGCTTTTGCTTCAGTCCCAGCGTAGTTGCTAACTACTTAGTAGGCACCATCAAAAGTTAGTGTGCAGGACAGAGCCAGTTGTCACCCAAAGCTGGTTGTAGAAGAAGGGCTGATTCTGTAGAGGCTCACACGTGTGAGTCACATCACTGACAGGTGACTTGTGGAGGTGATGCCACACCCGGGCTGCTCGTGCAAGCAGTGTTACTCACATGAGTAAATGCTGCTAGAAGGGAGCTCAGTGTTGTTTGCCCCAGTGCCAGTGGTGGTCCTGGGTGTGGAAGGTGGCTCTGGAAGGGCGAGGGACTGTGCCCCAGCTGTGGAAGGTGTTTCCTGGGCACATTTTGGAAGCTGGGGTTTTGCCTCCATGGTGGATTCAGAAGAGTCCCGTGAAGGGACAAGAAACTGCTCTCGAGTTTTCATCAAGTTCGTCCTTCTGCAAACTTTGTTTCCAAACTGCAGCCCAGAGCTAGTGTGGCTGCGAAGTCCAAGGATTGTAGACGGTTACTGAACCAGCACGGTTTAATGGATGTAGTTCAAGTTGCTTTGGATAGCTTGTGCATCTGATTTGTATCATTTCTCCTTATGTAACAATTTGTTTCACAGTCAAGGAAGTGAGAGCTCTCCAGGGGTCAATAGCAGCTGTTGAGTAGTAGGTTCTCAGATGATACCTTGGATTTTAAAAAAAAAGTAGAGTGTTTAACATTGAAAGAAGCACAATATTTAAAAAATAGAATAAAAAAAAAATCAAGTTAGTCCATGTCACAAACACAATTTATTGTTTGAATACCCAATTTTAAGTGACAGCTGGAGAAACAAAGCCAGGTGCTCCACATTCAGGAGATGTCTTTCTTGCCAAAACTGACCTCTAGCACAGATGAAGAAGTGGAAGTGCTTTTCTCCAAGCTTTTGTAACCCTCACTACTCGGTACAATTGTACCAAATGCTGAGCTATGGGGCTTGGTGACCGACGACGGTGTCACCATTTTACACTTTGGCCCCACAGTTTGGTCCTGTGACTCCTGCAGTAGAACAGCAGCAGTGAAAAACCACGTGAGGTTCACCTCACAGCTCACAGTGCAATGAACTGAAGAGGGAAGAGGCTGACATGGGGCAGCCAAGGAAATTTACTCTTTTATGAAGAATATTTTGGAGTCTTAAATGTCTCACCAAAGGCCCAAGCCTTTATTGGAGAAATATGTCCTGCTAAATGCCAGCTGGATCTCCTGGCTAATGTTTACATATTTGGTGTGAATCTGTTTTCATGGTCTTCTCCAAGAGGTCCCAATGTAGGTTGCAATGTGTAAAATTCAAATTATTTATTTTGAAAAGATAAAAGGACTTCAGTTGACCAGGCTGGGATTTGAGTCTACAGCTCAAAGTAATCTGCATGTTTACAAATAATCTTGGATCATTAAATCTGCTCTGAATGTCAAAAAAAAAAAAAAAATCAATATTGAAAAGGTTGCAATAACTGGAAGAAAACACATCTGCCTAGTGTCTTACCAGTACTGGCTCTTCCAGAGTTAGCATAGAGGGGAAATTTTTTCTAGGGCAGACGAGATGACAGCATGAAAACACAGAAACCATGGCTCCTGTCTGCAGTCATTTGCATTGACTGAAACAAGCACACGTGAAAATTCAAGAAACCTATTAAACAGGAAAATATCAACAAACAGCCAGATCATGGTGCTACTGCCAGATTTCTTTGTGGCTTTAGATGTCACACATACTGACCAGGTCACTGTGTGCTACTAGATAAAGGAGGACTTCCTATCTTCATTTGATGGAGAAACATTGGAAAATTAGTTCAAAAAAACTGCATGCATTGTTTTTCAAGCTCATAACACAGCCTAATGGCTCTCAATCCATGCTCTGCTTCCCAAGTCATGCCTATTGCTCAGTAGGAACATCCCTCCCTTTTAGCACCTAAACCACAGCTGTACCACTTGCTTTTGTTAGAGATAATTCTGTCAAATAATAAAATTGTTAATGGGTAGAAATATGCATTCATGCAGGGATTATTCACACTTTATCATGAGGTGATATCAAGCACTATAGGAGTGAATGACAAGAAATAGGCTTCTGAAATACGGAGCCCTCCATAAATATACCATTTTTATTGACAACCCATCTTTTAACCCTAATAGTAATGGAAGAAATCCAATAAATGAAACATTTACTGCATAACTTGCCTTATTTTCTGGTGGTGTCTGATTCCTTTCTAGCTGTCTCTAGAAGATGTTTTTAGCCTAATTTGCTCCCTAGAAATTTCACTCGCTAGAGTTATACATCTATGACGTTTTATTGCCTGAAGCCAAGTCTGAATAAGAACTTTCTTAAGATATACTTATCCTAATGTCAGTCTACAAGAACTGGGCTGCTTTAGTTTGATTTATTTGTGCAGCAGAGATATGGTGCACCTATATAGCTGGCCATGGCCTCAGACTGTATCTAATACCCCAAACACAAACAAGTAAGTGAAACCAGCAAGTTTAGCCATGGTTAGTTGCAAGTAGACACTTTTAAACCAATCACCTTAAATTTGTATTTATATGTCTCTGTTTTCCAAAACAACCAAAGCAGTAGACCGTTGTAAAACCCTCTAATTTCACAGGAAGGGGGAGTGTAGGTGTCTGTAATGTCTGCATACGCTCACAGGCACACACCAAGCAATAGCCAAATGCAGGGTGCTTCCACTGTCTAAGGAATACTGGTTGGCATTGAAGGATCAGGAGCACAGATGTCACTGACTGAGCTTGCAGACCACTGCCTGGCTGGTTCCCTGGGCCCTTTCTTCTGCCTGCTGCCTCTAGCACCCACTTGTGCAGTCAGTCAGTGCTTTGGAGCAAGATCCTTCTTTTTTTGGTGGTTTTGCTGGTCCCTCACCAGAATTTGTGCATGTTATGGTGATGCAGACAATACAGTG